CAACCCTATGGGCATTCACGGCCTGTTACAGGGATAGCTTTACCTTATTATGCATTTGTCTCTTGCTTTTTTTATTCAGTGTCCAACTTCCATCTGAATGTGCTATTACATGTGTGTTGTAGTTAGTAAAGGGAAGGCACTTTAGTTAGGTTAGAAGGGTGAGCAGCTGCTGCAGTTCCTTCAGTAATGAGTGTCCTGCAAGTCCTTAATCTTGCTGATGGTGGTGTACCTGCAGTTGGTGATATTTAGGACCCCTTAATTTATTTGAATATTAGTACAAAGTAATAGTGTGCACAATAGTGTTTTATAAAAATTGACGTGTCACAGTATAGTGTGGAACATTTTATTGTCTTNACCCATTAGAGGAAAGGAAGGGAATTAAGGGAAAGCAGAATTGCAGAAGAGAATGGAGTGGTGTGAGTTGAGATGTTCACAAAGTTTGAGTATATAGGGAGAAGGGGGAGGTTAGGAAATGGTGAGAGCAGAAGGGGTTTGTAAATGTTAACAGTGAAAGGGGGTTGTTAAATTGATGTAAATGAAAGAAGGAAAATGTGACCTGTTCAGGAATGTAATGCAAACTGCAGAGATGGACCATCAGGTGTGTATCTGCGGAAATGTGGTAATTGTACAGTGCTGTAGGAATTCTGTAATGTCATTTTAAATTTGAATGTGTTTGGTGTTCAGGTTAAATCTTTATACATAAACAGTTCTTCAGCTGTATTCTTACAAACCCTTTGATTGTACTGAAGACTGCAGTAGATGACTTGATTGACACACACACACTGTCCCAATCTAGCTGATAAGGTAGTGGTCAGACAGACAGGTCTCAGAGAAGGTAGGGTCACTTGTGTGTGATATTTCCACTCACAGTCCATTGTTCTTAACCGTAAGTAGATTGAAGAGACAGATGACAGCAACAGATGCAGGCAGTGAACAGTCGACCACCTGCAAAATGGACATATATTTGGCAGTTAGTGGGGTGGTGCATTTACTTTCTTCTGTTGCTGAGAGGAATGGGAGTTTTTTCTTTGTCAGAAGACATTTGAAATCCATCACAGACCTAACAGGGAATATCCAAAGTTATGAAATTTACATCTGTACCCTTTTCAGTGGATCTATACTTGCACTTTACAATATCCCTTCATGGTATGGTGCTTAATTAGTTAAGCACAAGGACAACTTTACCGTACTCTACCTTTATCCTTGTCTGTATGACTGGTAGCCATGGCTGCTGAAGCAATGTGCGAGTATTGCGGTAGGATTTGTTGTGTATGTGATTGAAATCCTGATTCCCAATTTATTATTCCTTTTGGTTCTCTTGTTACATAAGAATACTTTAATTTCATAATTTGAGTGTTACTTCCTTCCTTACAGATGTAAATAATATAAATTGTGGTACTGATGAAGAAAGCAACAATATCCCATGCACAGAACGGATACTTCTGCTTGGGTGAGGTAGAAACTTCCGTGCAGCAAGTCACTTGGCCTCTTAGGCCATTTATTCAGCTTGATGCAGGAGATGAATGTGAAAGAACAAATCCTATCATGATGTAAACTAATGATTGTACATATCTGTATTGCATACAGTTTAGAAGGTGTTAGGCCGTAGTTCAGTAGTGAAGCATTTCCATACAGGTATGCTGCTAATTTTTGGTTTATTCAGTGATCCTTATTCAGTTGCTTAGGATGAGTGTGTATGATGAACTGGGAGAGAAGTGGCGGTAAACATTCACAGCACTTGATTGGTGAGACAGAAAATCATGAAAAGCACCTGTCAGAATTTACTAGTTAGGAACCAAATGTCCCTCTTTGAAAAGAACCTCTTTTATGTAAATATCCTCTACATTTCTATATGGTTCTGCTGACATTTAAAACCGATGACGTTTTGGGTGGATGTGTTTATTTTGCTGTATTATTGAGTTTGAGTTATGGCCTTATGCTTTTATCTGATTCCCCAACCATCTGCAATTTTTCCCTGCAGTAAATGAGCTCCCATGCCTCTGGGAGTACTGTGCAGTCACCCTTGTGCCAGAGACAGGCCTACCTGATGACACAACTGTTCTCACCAATAAATACTGTCACGTGTCCTGGGTTTGCATGACTAATAAGACGGGTTTTGGATTTAATGATTGAGTTTATTGGACCTTTGTGTATTTTTTTTATTGCTAGTGGGGTGGGACTAAGTCCCTTGTACTGCAGCCACTTCTGGCCTATTGTACCAGCCTCAGATGATAGGGGAGGGTGATTGTGGAGCAATTGGTGGAATGAAGATTGGCAGGAGAAACCGAAGTACTTGGAAAAAGATCTGCCCCATCGTCATTTTGTCCACCACAAATCCCACTTGACCAGATCTGGTCTCGAACCTGGGCTGCCGCGGTGGGAAGCCAGCATCTAACCGCTTGAGGACCTTTATGTAACGGGTTACAAGAGTTCATAAATGACTGACTGACAGACTGTCATCTTCCAGCTGGACACTTCACAGGATCTATTCTGACTTCCAACCGAAATGTCAGTTATTGTTGGCTTCTTGTTATATAGCCTCGGTTCAGACCACAGCACAGAAAACACGTCCGTTGCCTAGCAATGGATATATGTGAACTGACATAGAAAACACCTCTTGCAACACCAGTTCTGTTGTGTGTGTGTGTGTATTGTGGGCATTGCCTAGAAATGTGTCTACTCTGTTGATTGCATATTTGTTGTGGGCTTGTTTGCCGAGTCTTTCCCGAGCAATGAGTCTACATGTCAATACTTTAATCCCCTACAAATTTAGCTGCATTGTAATTCTGGGGGGAGGGGGGAAGATGGCCTCTGTTACTTGATTCTTGGATTCATTAACAACACCTAACATTTTTTTTCCAACTGAACAATTTATAGCATCAGCCAGTAGCATGATTATGGATGGGAAATTTAAAGGTATGTATATGCACGGAAATATGCATGATCTAATTTAAGGTACTGTTACAGCTTTTGTCTGGAAGAACCGAGGAATACTACAATAATAATTGTCAGTATGGGTGCTCCTCATGCTGAAATCAAATATAGGACCACCCAAATAAGAAGCAGGAATGCTGACCACTTAAAAGAATATTCATTTTGGGACCTTGAAATACTAAATTCCCCATGACTGCATTGAGAACAATGTAAGAAATCATTACAGGTATCGAATTTCAAGAGATTACTGTTTAAATCTTCTGTCACAGTAATTCCTGTGAAAGCGATAAATTGTTTATTATTACTGACTACAAGTAACATATTCCCCATCTTTCAATTTTAATTTGTGCTTTTAAATTCCATAGATAGCACCTAGGTTTAGGAAAGGGTCTTGAGGCTGTCATACAATATTTCTACCCTCTTTGGTCAGATATATCAACTCTGCCAGTTATAATTCAAACAAAGGATAGCATGTTCAGGCATTTAATTGAGTGTGAAGTAATGATAAACCAGACATGGGCGCTTACATAAGTCCGTAGGCATGGGGTGATAATGGCAACAGAACTGCATCCTCCTGAGGTCAGAACAGACCAAGCAGCTTCACTTTCAGAAGTTCCTGGGATACGTCATGTCAAGTTACTACATGTTACACAGATATCACAAGAATATACATTTTGTCTTGGTTCTGTGTCAAAATAAGATATATGAAGATTTATTTTATTATTTTTATTGCTAGTGGGGTGGGACTAAGTCCCTTACACTGCGGCCACTTCTGGCCTATTATACCAGCCCCAGATAATAGGTGAGGGTGATTTTGGAACAGTTGGTGAAATGAAGATTGGCAGGGGAAACCAAAGTACTCAGAGAAAACCTGCCCCAGCACCACAAATCCCACTTGACCAGACCTGGGATCAAACCCAGGCTGCCATGGTGGTAAGCCAGTGACTAACTGCTTGAACAATGGCGCGGCCTTATATGAAGATTTAACTATATGGATTATATTTTACGTTCTTACTTGACAACACTGAATAATTCATATAGGCAGGAACATGAAATTATTTGTGATGAGAGGTTATAAAAATGTGTACAAAATACTTTTCATGTTAGGAGGAGTCAACATGGAAAAGGCATGAGCATCAAGGTAAGTGTATGTATCAGTTTGGAACATGTTTTTGGGATCAGTGGCCCAACTATTCATACCACAATAAGAACTAGCATATGATGACACAGCTGGGCCTCCAGAATGTATTGCTTTGGTCACCATTCCTTCAAATTAGCAGCAAATCTGTCTTCATTGTCAGCTTTTGAAAACAATAATTCATAATTTGACTTGTAATAATGAAGTCATTAACTGTTAATGACAGGAGATGCAGAAAATGTGCACTTTATAAGCCAAATGAACCTCTTCCATGTTGATAGGTGTATGTGGAACTGGCTTTTACATGTTAATTGTACTGTTTGATGCCTTACATACTTATGGAGCTGAGCCCTTCTTGAGAAGCCGCCAATTGTGCAGCCACTCAAGAATTTCCCAGCATTTTGTGGAACCCAAAGGTTCCATTACCATGTTGACAAGAGCCTTCCACTGGTCTCTATCCTGAGCCAAATCAATCCACTCAATCCCATCCTATCTTTCTAAGATCCATTTTAATATTGTCTGCCCATCTATGCCTTGGTCTTCCCAGTGGTCTCTTTCGTTCTGGCTTTCCCACCAATATCCTATATGCGTTCCTCTTCTCCCCCATTCATGCAACATGCCCTGCACTGCTTGATGCCACACAACCTATAACAAATTAACATATGAGAAGAAACAGGAAAGTCAAAGAGAAAATTCCCACCAAAATCTGACCTTCCGTACTAGAAATAAAAACATTTACAGCAATCTGTGCCTCATTTTATTTGTATAAACCAATCCTACCACTCCGGAATAACGTTTGAAAATAGAGCTTGCATGCAGATTTCAGGATCGTAGAATAGGAGCGTTTTAAGTGAAGTCCATTCGCGTAGTGCGGTAGAAACAAACTCGATGCAACGAGTAAGTGCTATCGCGTGAGGCCTTGGGGGGGGGGGGACAAATTGGCGATGAAAGTCTATAAAGAACTTGGTTCGTTAGCTGTTAATGGTGGTGACATCATTTTTCTTTGTATCCTATGCGATGCTCTTAAATATATTGTCTTCAGTAACGAAACACGTTACAATATAAATCTCGAAGATGAGCAGCTGGTTACAGAAATTTAAATTTTATAGGTAATTTTTTGACATGTTTGGGTTTAAGGTCATTTTTTTCATTTTGGGGGTAATTTTTGGACTTTTAAGGCTGTTTCTTGTCATTTTTGGCCATTATAGGGAATTTTTCTTCATATGTTTTCTGAATTGTGAATAACATGGATGCGAAGTGTTCTTTCTTTTCTCCTTTAGGTCATTTTTTTAATATTTTCAAGTCATAAAAATCCGGGTCCTGCATATTACATTTTGGGTCATTTTTTAAATATTTTCAGGTCATCAAAATCCGGATCCTGGTGATGACACTCAAGTTTTCGTCAATGATAGTAGTGAAACAAGTGAGGTAACGAGTGCTTGTTGTCATAAGTTTAAAATAGAACTCAGATCAGCACAAAAAATTATTGAACTGCTAGAAGAAGAGATAAACACGCCCAATCGTACGGAAGTACAGATTCATGTTACTTTCACAGTTCGAACTAAAAAAAAAAACTCGCTGGAACATCTGGCTAACCTGACTTAGGTTTTTTCGTGGTTTTTCACAGCACCACCAGGCAAATGTTGATTGGACTTATTATCCCTAATCAGGTGACAAGCACCAAGACTACTGAATACATTATTTATTAATCATCAGCCATTTGATACTATATAGTTTCTGCTATGAAGTGTGTTGTGAAATCATGAAAGGAATTGTGGTGCAGGAGCAGTTTTGAATGTTATTAATAATCGGACACAACTTTCAGCATCAGAAGAGATGCTGTCCAACATCAAGACTGAGCCCAATGACAGCGAACTGGAGTTTCAGATAGCCCTCAAGAAAGCATGGAGACTGAAGCTACAGGAGGCTGTTGCAGAATCAAAGAACAGTGTAGAAAAGGTACATCACATCGTCAGAGTTCCTTTTTAATCCTTCTCACAAATGTTTGGCTGTAGTAGGGGTCATTTCTCTTGTTCAGTCAAGGCCATCTTCCCCTTACCTGCCTCTCTGCTTTTTCTCCCTGAGACAAGAAGGGAGCAGCCCTATGGATAGCTGGTAGAAGGTGATGAAATTGTCCCTAGTTACAGAATCCTGTGCCATGTTTAGTTCCTACACAGTGTCTCCATATGTTCCAGTTATAAAATGTTGCACAGAACTTTGTAGTAAAGTTCATTATGATGTTTCCTCCTTGGTTACTGTACAAAATCAATTTACCCTAGAGACTATATTGTAATTTAACCTGAGGGCTATTAAATTTTTACTCTCACAGTTTCTTGTGGTGGGCCTCAAACCAGTAAATCATATCTTCACATTTAAGTAATATCATCATCCTTTCTTTCTGTGCTACAATCTGAAAGGTCATGGGTTCGATTCCCAGTTAGGTAATTGGATTTTTAGATTGACCGAATCCTTCCAGTCATACTATGACCTTGGGGTCAACTCTTCCTCTAACAGAAATGAGTACCAGGAATATTCTTTGGGGGGTAAAGGGTGGCCGGCATGTAAGGCTGTAACTTTAGCTCTGTAAGCTCTGTAACTTTAAAGCATACTATGATATTAAAAAGATATTTTGGCAAAGAAGTTTCAAGATGATCAGTATAGTCAGAAGAATTCTGTCTTCTGGTGTATCATCTGAATTTCCAGGGGAACATGTTACCTGATTCTTGAGGGTCAAAGAATAAACGAAACAAGAAGCCAGCATGAAGCAGGTAGGAAGCTTGGCTTTGTTACCTGCCAATGCTGGTTTCTTACTTGATTTATTCTTCAACCCTGAAGATGGAGGCGACTTGTTTCTGCAGAATGTCTGTTGACTTTCGACAGACTACACGGCATTATATCCCAGATGACAGAACTCTTCAAAACCACTGCTGTCAGAAGCTCCAATCCTACATAGTGTAGTCAGTAATTTAGAGCGCAGTAATTTTTTATACAGAGGTTGGTGGGTAAGCAGTTCAGATTTCAGTCTAGCTCAAGGTAATTTTGAATTGGTAATTTTTGGACTGCATTTGCTTTCTGCTAATCTCATACAAAATTTATATTACAGGACTTTGAGAGGCAAATGATTGAAGAGAAGAAACGTCAGGAAGAAGAAGGCAAATGTGGAGCTTGGAATAAAGTTGAGCTTGGTGAGTCATTATCAGAATCTTTATGTACCACATAGGCCTATTCAAATTAAGAGATATTGACACTTTAGTATTGAATTTAATTGTGCATTTATATTTTAAGTATTTCATAAATGATGTACCATATTTAATCATATACTGCAGTCTTGTTAGGGGTTTTAGTAGAAACACATTAATCATTACTGTTTAATATTAGTAGTGGTAGGATAATTGGTTGAGGCACTATGCTACAAGTTGGAAGGTCGTGGGTTCAAGTCCCGACTAGGTCATTAATTTTTTTCAATTGACCTAATCCTTCCAGCTGCACTATGGCCCTGGGGTCATCTCGGCCTCTTAACAGAAATGAGTAACAGGAATTTCTTTTAGTTTTCTACCATCAGCCATATTAACATGGTGACTGAGCTGGGAGCAATGCTAGAGCCACTTAAATTAGGTCCTTAAGAAAAAGGTCCTGGGGTAAGCTGTTATACCCATTCAGAAGGTTCTGAGTTCGGTCCCCACTCGCATCTGTAAACAGATTTTTCTGCTCACAGATGATGCCTTCATATCTACCAGAGTTCAAGCTTCAGGAATACAAAGGATACCCCCCTCCCATTGGGTTATAGCACATGTCAAATTGTAGGGTCCCTCTGCTGACCAGCTCTATCATGATTACCCTCTCATGGGTGGTGAGATTATTGTCTTCCACCTCAAATGCTGTCAGTAGAAGATTTTGATATATACTTGTTGTTTTGACTTCTTTTCTCCCATTCTGTATGTGGCAGTTTGTAACTAGCCAACATATTGTGACATTTGAGTGTGTAAATACTTTGTACTTGATATAGTTTGTTGTGTAGGCATAGAATGTGGCAGAATGGTTCATTTTGCAGATAGGTTGCATGAATTAGGAAGAAACATGCCTTGAAATTATTAATGTCCCATTGTACTTTTATTAAAATATTTTATGTTAATCTAACACCGCTCTTTTCCAACCCGCCTTTGCTTGTATCGGCGCAGTCGGAATGGTGCTATCCCTGCTACACCTGTTTCTACCTTAGGACAGTGTATGATGGCCACTGCAAGTTGTCCTCACAGATCAAACTAAGGAAGATCGGTATAGGTACGGGAAACTAGCTGGGTCGGTTCGCATGAGTCTCAGGGTAGCGATGCCGCAGAAAGCGTTTTTCTGAGAGTTGAGCCAATTGACGTTTATTCACCTGCTAATTCACCACACTGTTAAATTAATGTATTCTTAGCTTTACAGCGTTACTATCGGCAAGCTATATCTCGGAGCGTGCAAAGGTCACGTCCGTTCAGTTCGGAATACTGTGAAAGTCTCTTTTTGTGGAATGGCTTGCACCCCCACGCCGGGAATTCGAAAGATGGTGTTTTCATATACATTTCATCCCATCTTCCGTGGGAAGCTTGAACGAGGCAACCCAATCATACTGGCCCTCATTCACAGGCAATTGTAACAAGCTCTGACCTGTCCTTTTAGGCGCGTCCGGTTCTCTGTGCCCGAGCTAAATTTATGACTGATCGTAAATGTTATAACTCCGGACTTCTTGTTTCTGCCAAATCTAGAAATTTTCAACGTAAACATCGTATTGCACGTCCCAGACGATGAAATACGATATTATAGATCACGATACATTTCCAGTAATATCGAAACATAAGACTTTTGAAATTTAAATTACCAAGAATTAATTAGAAATAAATTTCATGTTCAGCTATAATCATCCAAATAAATAAGGGCTCAGAATGATCAGCGTCAATCATTTCAATCCCTGTGACTTTAATGTGCTGTAGCATGCCCATTTCTTGTTATTGGCTGTATTAGTAAGTTGTGTTAGAAAACGGAATGTTACATATTTTTATTATTTCATAAAATAACAGATTGAACTATATATGGCTCATACCCTTTTTTCTGGCTGAAACTTCAGGATGAAAGGATTTTACATGTTACTTGGAAACATGACCACATTCTGTAAGATCCTAAAATACAGTGACTTTAATGTTGTCTCTATTTCTAATTTCAGATCTGTCTCTTGAATTTCATGGAAAGGTACCTGGCAAAAATAAAGTGGAGAAACGAATGAAGAAAACTGAACAGGAGGGAGTGAGTATCAGTCCAGATCTGGTCATGAGCTCTTATTTCTAATACAAGCCAGAAGGTCATGGGTTCAAATCCCGATGAAATCATTGGATTTTTTTTCAGTTTACCTTATTGTTCCAGCCGCACTATGGCCCTGGGGTCAACTCAGCCTCTAATAGAAATGAGTACCAAGAATATTCTTGGAATATTCTTGGGGGTAAAGGGTGGCTGGCGCATAGGGCTGACAACCTTGCTGCCATCTGTGAGCCAACTGTCTAGAAAATGTGGGAACCTCAACATCTCACAACCCAATGGGCCTCCACGGCCTGTTACAGGGATACCTTTACTTTACTTTAGTATATTGTAGTACCCTGCTGCACTTCATTTAGTACCAGATTGTTTCACAGTCTCACGTGCAGCATGTCCTTCTGTAAAACTTTCTAAAAGTTATTCACTACATGTTTCGACCTATAAGGTCATCATCAGGTGTTTTAAAATTATAAATGAGGAAACTGCTGTGCTTCCATATTGTGGTTGTTGGTCATCACTATGCGCATGTATATATGAATTGGTGGGTTGTTCTGTGTGTTGTGTTATGCTGCATGTCCCTCTTGCGCTGCATAACACAGCAGGCAGAGCAACCAGCCACTTTGTATGTACATGCGCATAGAAGGGACCGCTTAGTGATGACCAACAACCACAATATGGAAGCACAGCAGTTTCCTCATTTATAATTTATGATTTTAAAACACCTGATGGTGACCTTATAAGTCGAAACATGTACTAAATGACTTTTAGAAAGTTCTATAGAAGGATGTGCTGCACATGAGACTGTGAAACCATCTGATGCTATTTCTAAATGGTGCTCCATAAAGAAGCAAATTTTAGTTATCGTTACATGTCCACGGTTCCACATAGCAGATAGATATGCATCGACACTTTTTGTGCATTCATTTTCTGCTGACTACAAACATACACAGTAGCTTCAGTCCTGGGACAGAAGCGAATACTGCAACTTTATGGCAAGTCAGGTGGAGCCTCCTCATAAAACACAGCATATTTGTTCAATTGTCATTGGGCTAGTAGACATAGACACAGACCATGGGTTGGAAATTTTGAGAAATTAATGACTTCAAGCAGCAGACTAACTTAAAATTTGGCCAGTTGTTAGGATAATCAGTGACAGGAGCTGCAGATATTACACAACGTGTAAGGGCAAACAGACTATGCACCATCTGAAGGAGCTGCTGCTGCTGCTTCTTCTTCTTCTTCTCCTTCTCTTCTAGTTGATGAAACAGATGAGCTCAGCAGACACCCACTCAGAACGCTTAGCCTCTTGCAGCAGAAGCAGAAAGAAATGCAGTCTCCATTTGTGGTCCTTAGTGGCAGTAAACAAATGGGAGTATGTTTTTGGTCTGCATTCATTGAAAAGAACAATCAGTTCTAATTAAAAAAAATTGTATTCATTAACTGACAGACTTAAACACGAGAACACAGATTACTAGATGAAACCAGTGAAGTCAATTCAGAATTCGTCTAATCTTGACATTGTAAATAACAGCAATTCATAGCTTTAACTTAAAGGCTGAGTAGATGGGAAGCCATATAGTAATGTCGATAATGTCATATGGTGATTATACTGCTGCAAAGGAAATATTTGTTTTTCTCTGAGCATGTCACTTGTCTTGTTATAATTTGTAGACTGTATTCGTACACTATAAAGTGTCATTTTAATGATGGATTGATTAATAAGACTTTCCTCCTTGGTACTGTGAAGCTTTACTAAAAATTTCTGTTTTTGATGCAGAATATTAAATTTCATTTTCAAAAAGAAAACCACCATGTGAGGTTTTTGTGAGATCTTCAAGTTTAACGTGAGCATTACTACATTTTCTTCATTTCTTTCTTTTTCAGGGCAACCATCTCAAAAACAAAACTGCAGATTCTTCATGAAATATGCTGGCACCAGCTCTGAACTTTGGCATGGACTTATGCTTTTATTGTTTCTTACTGTCTGGAATATCATCTCTATTTTTAAATAAGACACAGCTTGCAGCTGCCGACAGTGCCTGTGTGTACTGGAAGGAAGGCCACAGAGTTCATGTCACATTCAAATGAGTACAGTGGTTCTCCTGCTTCCTTAGGTAACCTGTTGGCACCTGTAAGCTGAAAAGTACAATTTCTAGTGATCGGTTGCTTGCTTATAGGACTTGATCCAGATGAACAGCCTCTAAGCTAAATCAGACATGAAGTAATTATATTTGGCCTTTCTTGATTGCAATAGCAATATTGTATCCTTCCAATGGAAGAAAGAAATCCTTGTTCAGTTGTAGGCCAGTATGAAAAGCTGTAAAATTATACAAGCAACAGAATCAGAAGATGTACAGTCTACTGCAAATCGTTGAAAAACAGCACTGATATATCACTGAAACATTTGTAATGGGTTATAAAAGTAACTTGGTTCATCCTGGTCCATCACACTAGTAATTGTATGTAAGGGTTTTAACCACTGTCCAGTGTGACTGATAAAAATTGTTTTTAATTTTTCATCCTTTACAAGTTTCGGTCAAAACGACCATCTTCAGAAGGATATTATCAATACGTATGGAAACTGCTATTACATGTCATACACATATATGTTTTATATCTTTTAACTAATATTAAGATGTACATCGATTTGTTAAAACATCTAAAAATTATTACAATTAGTCTGTTTGCAAAATAATGTTCAGTATTTGTTTTGAACTAGAACCAATTTGGTTTCTTGTCCTTACATGTCTGTAATAATTTGAGATGTTTTAACAAATCAGTGTCCATCTTAAAAAGTAAAAAAGTAAAGCTATCCATGTACCAGGCCGTGAAGGCCCTATTAGTTAAATGATATAACATACATATCTATGACATGTAACAGTAGCTTACATAAGTGTTGATAATATCCTTCTGAAGATGGTCGTTTTGACCCGAAACATGTAAAGGATGAAAAATTAAAAGCAACTTTTATCAATCGCACTGGACAGTGGTTACAAATGTTATATGCGGTTATGAAAGTCCTGTGTTTAATCCACATGCAGATGATAAAGAGTCTTCTGTAGGTATATGAAAACTCGAAAGACACATAGACACGGCCAATAATATCAGGTCAGGAAACTGTATAAGACTGATCTTAAGGCAACTTCTTGGAGGTGGTGATAATGTTTTGAACCCAAAATGAATATATAAGTCAGTGCTGAACATTATCTGAAGTCTGAATTGTAATGCTGATGTATTACTAATCTTCACTTAAGTAGGTACCCAGACAGACTACAGGTGT